TCGCCGCTGCTTTGGACATGCGTACTCTGCGCCTCGCGCGGTTGCAAGGGTTACGTACGGGGCGGCGAGGAGCGCGCGCTCCTTTCCATTCAAGCGGAGGGCTCCCCGCGGGGGAGGCGTGGCGTCTTCCTCCGGTCGAAGGGTGTCGCTCCGCCTCCGGGAGCCACGTGCACTTTGGGCTGGTGGGGAGGAGGAGGAGGAGCCTTCGGACAGAGAAAGGGGCGGGCCGCTGGAGACACTTTGTAGTCTGGCGAAGACAAAGGAGTCGGTGGGCGGGGAGCGGGAGCCGGGCTTCTCTTTCCAAATATCTGGAATAAATAAGGAGTCCCTGCACCACCACTCCCCCCTCCGCATTAAAACTGGGAAACGTCCTTTCGTCGGTGCCTGATCAATTGCACGCAGTTGCACCCCGCCTTTCTTGGGCGCTGATTTCTTGCGGGCCATGCAACGCAAAACCGCGCTCCATGAAGCCCCCCCCCTTTTAAAATGTCAAGCAACTTAAGAAAGTTGCGGAGAGAAAGCCGCGGCAGCAGGAGCTGCAGAAATGGAAGCGGATCAATGCAGAGGAGGACAGAGCCGGGAGCCCACCCAAAGCAATAGCGCACCCGCTAAACGGCCCTTTCTCTGCTGTCTCAGCATCTGATCAAGGGGAAAGGGGGGGAGTGACCCTGACCAGTTGTTGCAGTGACTTATTGTCTTGATCATCTCGCACTGACTTCCATGAACTCTTTCTGGTTCCCCATCCCCACCCCTTACAACTCTCTCCGTGGGGGGGGGGGGGGTATGGGTGATGCTATTTTGCCCACGTAATTTTCTAGAAGGAATTTTCTGTCAGTATAAAATACCTTTCTCTAACTTGGTGCTCTCCAGATGAATTGAGCGACCGCTTCTACCATTTCTAAATAGCATGAGCGTTAAGTGTATGATCCCATATATCTCAAGGGGTTCAGGTTAGGAAAGGCTAGCATCTCAATCATAACAATACATTGACCCTTCAGTTCCCACAATTCCCAGCCATCGGGGCCCAATGGCATTCTGGGGCTTGTAATTCTGTTGACCAGTTTGGGGATGGGGGGCACAGAGCTATCTTTCCCAATGTGTTGTCCTCCAGCTGTTTGGGATTTCAACTCCCATAGTGCTGAACCAGCATGGTCAACACCTGTGGGAATTATAAACAATGATATGAGACTGTGGTAATTGAATTTGGCCATTTTTTTTCAGGAAAGAAACCCCCTGACGCAGCAGCATTGCAAATAAAATAAATTTTTGGAGACACAGAACTGTTTAATGTCACCAGGCTTCAACCTGAAGGGCAGCTAACGTCTGTCATATTACAACCGATGGTACTCCATCTTCCACTTCTATAACTGCCATGTTGAATACTACATCTTATTTCAGAACAGCTAAAGGCAGAAGCCTTTTTGCATGCTTGCAAATTAGAATAATGTAGTCTAACAAGGTTAACAAATCCGTGCTTCTTTTATTACTTGTTTCTGAACCGGCTCCTGGCAACCCCCATTCTACCTGATCACGTTGGCTAGGAGGTGCAGTTAATAAACTTCGGAAAGGCCCAGGTTCGCCCACCCTTCCCTTACATGAAGGATCAATCAGGGGCAGCAATCTATGGGGATCCACATTCTTCTCTGCTCCAATGGAGCTTTTTACAGTGCCCAGCTGAGAACTGGTTTCCTTAAACGCAGCCGGGAGGAGAAGCAACAAGAACATCTGTAAATAAAAAGCACTACTTTTTATGGAAGAGCCACACAGCTAAGCAGAGCAACAGACAGCCTTAAGATACCCACCAACAAAATTATTTCTCTTCTACTTTCTCCCTAATTGCCTCCTTAGATACAGAAACAATATTGCAACTACAGCAAGCACGGTCAGTTCCGCAGGGAAATTAATCCTTCCTAACTTTTCTTTTGAAAAACCAGAGCGCGGACGCTCCTAGAAAAATCAGTGGAGGGCGGGCCAGGCAACAAAATGGTGGACAGAGAACCGGCAAAGTGAGGCTGGTGCAATGAGCGAGGTGGGAATCGTGGAGGTATAATATCAAAAGCGTGGTGCTCATCCTTGTGGTCAGCTTCTTGTTTAAGAATGCATGAGCCCTTCTAAATCAGGCAAAAGTTGAATTAATGCAGCGTTCGGATCCTCACGAGGAGAAGACAAGCAAAAGAACACTGCCTTTGGGCTCAGAAACATTCTTGCATATAAAAACGTCCCTTCCTGTCGGCCTTACCAGGTAGACCAGATGGGAAACATGACCAGATAAGCTAATTCTACGTTATTGTAAAGCTACATTAACAGAATCTTGCAAGTCTAAAAGTACAATTCTCCCACCGTCTCCTTTACAGCCCAAGAAATTAGGGAGGGTCTCTTCTGGGCCTCTTGCCCCGCCCACTATCCAGCTGTGGGCTATGCTGTCTCTTATCTGAGCATTTCCTAGGCAGCATCTCTTCGCCCCGTCTCCCAAGGTCTTTCCCACATACCATTACACTTCCTGTAGAGTACTAGGCATCAAAGAGAATGGTTTTAATATAGCTTTCTGCTTGATATATTAGCTTTTTATGTGCAGGCAAATTATGGTTGATTGATTGATTGCCTTTTTAATTTGAGGAGCAGTCATTTATGTGAACGTTCAGCTATTATCCTTAGTGATAGATACTGGGCACTGCGAATTAGTGCACAGAGTAGAACCTAAAGGATTCTCCATGTTCAGTTGATCATCATCGTCATCATAGTATTCAGATGAGAATATTATTTATTCTGCTTTCTTCAGTGAGTTCAGACATGAGC